TTCAATCCACGGCTGTTTGTCGAGACGTCGCTGGGTGCAATTGGCTGCCGCGTTTCGCCCCACAAAATATACAGTCACTCCACTTTGCAGTGTATCCTGTGAAGCGCTTTGAGACGTCTCGAAAGCGCAATAATCATCCTCGCATTGGATCCAGCGCCTTATTATTATTTGGGATCAACTCACCCAACACGTACTGCCAATGCTCCCGTAGCAGAAAGTGCAGGTTCCTCAGTGTGACCTGGATTAGGTAGAGCGAGAGAGACCAGCCGCCAGCTATCAGCAGGTACAGCGAGCTTTTCTGAAAGGCGGGGGGGGAGAGAGTGAGTCAGCAAAGGTGTTTCTCATTAAAAGGTGACGAGTGGAACTGAACAGATGCACAACCTCCCTTTCTCTGCTCCGAACAGAGGAAACAACCAACGATCACACGTACCTTGGGCAGAAGGCGTGACAGGATAAAGATGACAATGATGAGGGAGGCCAATATTCCCACACTGATTCCTGAGGTGTAGAAGAAAAGCTGGCTCCTGAAGGGAAAGATAGATTCAAGATTGAAGGCCACTGGATTCTTCCTCCCCCACCCCAAAGACTAGTTATTTTCTTCGGGGGGCAGGTGGTGGGGCGGGAAGGGAGGGGGTGGGAAGGGGGGGGGTGGGAAGGTGGCGGGAGAGAGGGGGAGGGTCATCAGGGACAGTGTCAAAATTTCCTTCACCACAAAATACACAGTCACTACACTTTATAGTATATCATGTGAGGCAATTTGAGACGTCTCAGAGACGCGATAAGGCACTATGTCAAATGCAATGATTATTTTTATTATTAGTCTAACCTCACCTGCTTAAAGCTTCGGCGTAGAAAAACAGCAACAACCCACAGACAAAGATGGCAATGAGTTGCGGATCAAAGCCTGTAAACCAGAGAGAGAGCAGCACACATTAGCTCCGAGAATCCCTCACAGCCACAAGGCACGGCAACACACAGCTGAACACGGCTACCAACTCGCTCGATGGACAAAGCGTGTGGCGGTGGCTGCAAAGGTCAGCAATTGCCTCTCTTAATCCAACTGAGGGACACACCAAAAGGAATTAAAGGCGTTCTCCTCTCCCCCTCCTCAGATCAGAGGGTATATCCAGTGAGTGGCTGAGGCACAGTGACAAGGTTCCAGGCTGAGTCTGTGCTGAGACAGCTCAACGTCTAATTTCTAGAGAGACGTTTAAGCAGAGGCCTTAAGTGCAAAGAGCTGCATTCGTGCATATATGACGTCTTCACTTGTGTCCTAACAAGTGAGACACTGTTCAATTCCAAAGCAAGAAAGATGCCCATATTGTGAAACTAAAGGCAAATTCAATCAGCTACTTGCGCTTATACTGGGTAGCGGAAATCTGGAACTCTCTTTCTCTCTCTCTCTCTCTCTCTCTCCCCTAAAAGGCTGTGGGTTTTGCTTGGATCCATTCACATTTTCAAGACCGAAATGGATTGATGTTTCGTTAGGTCAGGGTATTAAGGGATACGGGGCAAAGGTGGGTAATTGGAGTTGAGGCACAGATCAGCCTTGATCTAACAGAATGGCGCGAAACAGGCTTACTCCTGTTCCTGCAGCACTTGACACAGGAGGCATCTCAAAGCGCTTTACAGAGATGGTATTGATCTGAACAACAGAGGCCACTTTGTACAAGGAGTTGCGGCACAGAACACCAGCTAATGGGATCAGGATAGAGGCTAGGATGGAGCACAGGAGGAGGGAATGTGCGTGTGCATTTGTTTGCACCAATGTCCTATGCTCAATGACACACAACTGCAGGAAACGCAGAACGCGTGCGAATTGCGAGACGAAAGACCAAGGTCCATCCAGTTCGCTTTCCACCATTCTAGCAGTCACCTACACATGTCCTGTCCAGAACTATACACTGTAATCCCCAGAGATTATTTCAAAATATCCTAAAATTCATCTCATTTTGCTTTTGAAAGAATCAACTCTCTCTGCTGGAGCCTGTTCCATACGTTTAACCCTCCCTCACAGTAGTGTTTCCCCAGATCGGTTCTGAATTCACCCCCCCCCCCGCGCCCCCTTTCAATCGCAGGGCATGAAACCTCTTAAAGGGGATCATCTCCGGTATCTTACTGACAGGAAACTCACGGCGTGCCAGCAGCACACGATACACCGCGCTCGCGTTGTTCGGCTCCACTCTGAAGCAGGTTTTGCTGCTGAACAGGTCGACGTTGATGTGGGTTTCGTTGACTCTCTCCTTCAACATCAACGACACCACCTCCGTGAACCAACCCCAGACCCCGGGGCTTTGCAGCTGTGTCACATCCTCCGACTCCTTCACTTTAAACTCCTGGGAGCTGTTCACTCGGATCTGGGGAGAGGGAGAGAGAGAGAGAGAGAGAGAGAGAGCGAGAGAGATCTGATTATCGATAGATTTGATCATCAAATCAATCGATCCAGTTATTTATTTATGGTGTCAAAAGTGAAGGGGTGGGAGTAGTGGGTTGCAGTAACTGCTTCCTTCCACTAGAGGGCGCTAGAGTACAAGGCATGCTTACTGAGCCCCACCCCCACCCTCCCACGCGCCCCCCACCCAAGTCACACCGACAACGGCTTGTATTTACACAGCGCCCCTCGCGTAGGGGAGCGGCCCAGGACTCTTGCCTGTGGCGGAGCATGACCCCGAACCAGAGGAAGGGGGTGGGGGGGGGGGTGACCTCCCCAGTCTCACCCGTAACCGAGTCCAGATCTCTCTCCATCCGGGCACCAGGGTGTTTTTGTAGCAAAAGCTCTTTGCCCCAAAATACTGGTAGACGACATCCTCCACGATCGACGCGCTCCCTCCTGCAGCACGAAAGCAACGGTCGCAAATTAAGCCGCGAACTGAACCCCGACCGATGAGCTCCAGTGAACCCCCCCCCCGATCGCTGCGCCCCGTCTTAACGCGTCAGCGCCGCCTAAGTCATCCTGCTGTCAGTATACCGGCCGCCAGTCCTGATGACTCCCGTTAATCCTCCTCTTTAACCCTGCGAGTGAAAGCCCCAACGGGGAGGGTGGTCCAAGCAGCGGGAAAGCTTTGGCCAGACGGCGCTCTCGCTCTCTCAATGGCCAACCTACGTGGTTTTATCTGGTCAGACTCCAGCAGTTACCCCCTAACGCACACTCTGGGATTCCCAACCACCCCACCCCAAGCCCTTGGCTCCTGCCAACCTGCGCCTAATACCCTCCGGAATCAGGTCACCAGGGAGGGAGAGAGAGGGCATTCCTTTCCGACAATCTATCTCTGGGAACTTTCAGCGTGAGTTCTCAGCCGGGTCTGGAAATTCTTAAGCAACGGTGATGATGGGTCTCTGCACGCGTGTCAAGACACAGGGTTGGCCATTTCCCCCCCCCCCCCCCGTTCCCCCCAAAAAAGCCCCTTTTGCCTTGGAGCTGATCAGGAGTTTACTGTGAACAGAATTATAGAATTATACGGCACAGAAGGTGGTCATTCGGCCCATCGTGTCTGTGCCGCTCTTTGAATAGAGCTTCCAAATCAACCCCACTCCCCCCGCGCTCTCTCCCCGTAGCCCTGATCACCCCCATCCCCTCTCTCCCCCCCCTCCCTCTCTCTCCCCGCAATAGCCCCACTTGTCCTCCCCAAATAATTCTCCCTTAAAACTTGTGATATCAAATCGTTTTCCACCAGCCTTTCAGGCAATACTGATTAATCACTGCTATTACGGTATATAACAACAACAATAGTAATCCTCGCATTTGATATAGCGCTTTTCACGTCTTCTCGACGTCTCAAAGCGCTTCACGGAACAGTGAACAGTGACTGTACAGTGAATTGACTGTATATTTGTGGGAGAAACGCGGCGGCCGATTGCTCACAGCAGCGTCTGCCCCACAAACAGCCGTGGATTGAAGATGACCAATTTATTATTGTTTTGTTTTGGAGGGGATTATTATTATTATTATTATTATTAGGCTGTGTGTGTGGAGTAAGGAAACTCGCCCACCTGCCTGGTGTCCCGCTGGTGAGGTCAGTGCTCTAACCACTGAGCTACAGGACTGCAAAATATTATGTTATGTTATGATTCGAAGGAGTAAATTATTCCAAGGGGGTGTGGTGTGTGTGTGGAGTGGGGGGGGGGTGCCGTGGGGGTGGCTGTGCTGTGGGGTGTGGGGGGGTGTGTCAGCGCCTCGGGACGTCCTCCTGACGTGAAAGGCGCTTTATAAATGGAATCTCGTTGTTGTGTGCTGTGGGGGTGTGTGTTGTAGGGGGGTGTACTTTGGGGGGGGGGGGGGGGGGTGAGTGGGTGTGTGTGGGGGGTGTGTGTGTACTGTGGGGGGGTGTGTGTACTGTGGGGGGGGGTACTGTGGGGGGGTGGTGTGTGTTGTAGGGGGGTGTACTGTGGGGGGGTGTACTGTGGGGAGGGGGTGTGTACTGTGGGGGGTATACTGTGGGGGGGGTGAGTGGTGTGTGCTGTGGGGGGTGTGGTGTGTGTTGTAGGAGGGTGTTCTGTGGGGTGGTGTGTACTGTGGGGGGGGGGGGTGTACTGTGGGGGTGTGTACTGTGGGGGTGTGTACTGTGGGGGGGTGGTACTGTGGGGGGGGAGTGTTGTGTGCGGGGGGGTGTACTGTGGGGGGGTGAGTGGTGTGTGCTGTGGGGGTGGGGCTGTGCTGTGGGAGGGGGGGGGTGTGGGTGGGGGGAATCTTACGTCTCAGTTCAACACGGAATGTGAGGCGTCTCGAAGATTATTATTATTGATGATTATTATTATTATTGATTATAATGGTAATGATTGGGGCTGATGTTGCAGACAGGGGCCGGGCCTCGGAGACCTCCTGAAGCCTGGGGCTCGGGTTGGGGGAGAGAGGGAAAGGGGGGAAGCCCGGGCCCGGCCCGGCCCGGCGGGGAGGGAGGGAGGGAGGAGAGACCGTCGTTACCTGAGGCCGCGGCCTGAGCCAGGACCAGGCCTGAAAGCCAGGCCGCCGCGTACAGCGCCCAACCCGGGCCCGGAGCCACCAGCCGCGGCGGCCATTCATCCCTCCCGCCATTGGCTGCGGGGGGGGGGGCTCGGCTCCCTGACCGACAGCGCCGTCCGCCAATCAGCGGCTGCCCCTCGCAGGGCGGGGCTTTCACGCCCTGACTGACCGCGCCGTCCGCCAATCAGCGGCTGCCCCTTCGCCAATCAGCGGCTGCTCCTTCGCAGGGCGGGGACTCCACGCCCTGACTGACAGCACCGTGCACCAATCAGCGCTTGCCCCGGGCCTCGACTGGGATCCGCCTCGACCAATGGGAGCGTGACCTGGGCGGGGCGGGGCGAGCTCCTGAGCAGACCTGGGCGGCGCCCCTCGGTTTGACTGACAGCCGCTGCGACCAATCAGCGGACGCCACCGCCGTCCCACCACGCCCCCTCCCGTGCGGGCAGCAGCGGGTTCTGATTGGTCGCCGTGAACGCCAATCAGCGGCCAATCGCCCAATCGCGAGGCGGGGGGAGGGGAGGGGGCGGGATGTCTGATTGACAGCTGCAGAATCATCAATAACAACAATAATAACCCTCGGATTTGACCCATCAGAGGATCAAAGGGTCCCAATCCCGCCGTGAAGTGTAGTGACTGTGCGTTTTCCGGGCGGTGTGCATCAACGCAAGAGAGAGAGAGAGAAAAAAAAAGAAGAGAAAAAAAATCGCCGGCAAAAAAAAAAACGCCGACGGCGACGGTTTGGCCGCTTCAATCCGCGCCGCTAAACGCACAGTCACTACACTTTACGGCGCATGCCCCGCGAGGCGCTCTGAGCCGTCTCGAGGACGTGATCAAATGCGAAGGGCTGTTGTGGATAGGACTCCTGACTGAGCCGCGCCGGTTACTGAGCCCCAACGCAGACGGGAAGGACACGGTTTTAAACGATTAAGTGAAACAGCGTATTATGCTTCACAGATCTCGTGCTTTGAAACCTTTACGCGGCCCAAGTTGGGTGTAATGAACGAGTTTCTGCTCCGGGCCCCGGTTTGGTCCCTTGAAAGAAGCGAGTGGGCGGCTGAAGACAGCTCAACGTCCACAAATGAGTCGCGTCGCCCGGAGGGCCGTGGGCGGTGAGGATCACGTCACAGAGTGGGAGAGAGAAAGAGAGAGAGAGAGAGAGAGAGAGAGTGGAGCAGGAGGGAGAGTTATCATAGATCTTCCGGAAATAGCCTGTCGCTGGAATATATCAGGGAGATGAGACCTGCGACGCTAAATTTAGAATCCCAAACACAATGCGAATGTTAATTCGCTTTAATTGTTCTGTTTATTGCTTCCTTTGCTGTGTGTGTGTGTGTGTGTGTGTCTGTGTCCGTGTGTCTGTGACTGTGTGGATGTGTGTGACCGGCTCCATTGTTTCTCTTGTTGTATGTAACCGAGTTCAGCTTCAACTTAAGGTTGTGGCTTATACACTCATGCTCTCGCCTCTGGGGTCAGATGTTTGCAGGGTCGAGCACCTTCTCCCCCCCCCCCCCCAGACTGACCTCACCCCACCCACACATCGGCAACAATGAACTCACAGTCTGTACTGATGCTCCAGCAAAGTGTCGGGGGGGTATGAGGGGTGGGAGGGTGTCCCCATATTGTCGGAGGTTACGTCTTTCGGATAAGATAACAATAATCCCTTAAAAATACATTAAAATAATAATTTGGTCGCTCAATCCACGAGTGTTTGTGGGGACACTGCTGTGCGCTACCGCGTTTCGCCCACAAAATATACAGTCACTACACTTTACAGTACATTCTGTGAAGCGCTTTGAGACGTCTCGAAGACGTGATAAGGCATTACATCAAATACAAGGGTTATTAATTATTATTATTATTAAACCAGGCTCCCTGTCTGTGCCTGTTCAGATAGTCGTAAAGCTCAAATCAGAAGGGCTGAAGGATAATTATTTTAACCTCTGTATTATTAATTATTTGTATTGACGCAGCGTCCCAGACAGAGGTGGAGTCGGGGGGGGCCAGGGGGAGGTGACCGTAGGCACGGTCGAAGAGGAAGGAGAGAGAGGAGGGAAGGCGGAGGGATTGAGGGTGAGAGCGACAAGAGCAGTGGCTGAAAGTGCGGCCACCGACGACGGGACAACCTTGGTTTTGATACGAGGGACAAGCAGGAGGCCGGAGCCAGTCAAGCGGAAGCTGCGGGGAGTGGGTTGGGGGAGTGAGCAGGTGGGAGTGGTAGGGAGTTGGAAGGGCGCGAAGGGATTTGAAGACGAGCGCGAGGAAACTGAAACACACGTTAATGGTAACAGCCTGCGGGTCAGTGCAGAGCAGAGCAGCAGCTGGAGTTTATTGTGCGGAGGGAAAGGGAAGGAACTGGTGAGATTTGAGGGGGTGGATTGGACAGGGTTCAACCCTGCTAATGCTTCCTCCTTCCTCCCCGCCCCCCCCCCCCCCCCCCAGACACACACACACCCGCCAACATCATAAGAACATAAGAATTTGCTATGAAGCGAAAGAAGACCAAGGTCCATCTAGTTCGCCTCCTGCCCTTCATCCTGGCTGTCGCTTGAGGTGTCGTGTCCCCAAACTATACACTGTAGCCCCCCCCCCCTCCCACCCCCACCCCCAGATATTATTTTCGAGCAAAAATCTATCTCATTCGTTTTGGAAACAAACAACACTGATCATCCTCAGACAAGATAACCTCAGACAAGAGAGGGAGAGGTGGGGGTGGGGGGGAGAGGGGGGGGGAGAGTGTAGAGAGTGGGTACAAGGGGAGATGGACAGATACCGGCCATGATACAACAACAACAACATCAACAGCACAATTACATTTGTATAGTGCCTTTCGTTTCCAAAAAGAACTTGATAATAACCTTGTGTTTCGCATCGATTGAACATCTGAAAAGTCTCTCAGCAACCACACTTTTTGTCTCCTTCCTTCCCCCACCCCCCGCGCGCTCCACCCCACCCCACCCCACCCCACATACCACCACCCGCCGCCCGCCCCAGCACACACCCAACCCCCTCCGGGCCAGGCTACCAGCCAAGTCAAGTGCTTTGAGACGTCATCCCGACAATTACGACGAGGATAGAAGAGTGTAGGGGGGGGGGGGAAGGGGGGAGAGAGAGGAGCCAGGGTGAAGGCAGATTAATCCTGGTTTATATAGAGGAATTCTGGAAGTGGAGTCCTGTTGCTAAGAGCACTTCCTCACAGGAGAGAGGACCCAGGTTCGATTCCCGGGCAGAGGGCGACACTTGAGCCAAGTTTCCTTACTCCGCACTCCTTGTAGTGAGCAGGAACCCGGCTGTTCGCGGACTGTCGGATCGGATTCCTGGGCTAATCATTAATTCCCTTAAAAAAGAAAACGGTAATAATAAATCGGTCGCTTCAACCCACGGTGTGTGTGTGTGTGTAGTGTGTGTGTGTGTGTGGGGGGGGGGGGGGGGGGAAGGGGGGATTGACCCTGCTGTGCGACTGGCGTTTCGCCCCAAGATACACAGTCACTCCGCTCCGCGGTGTATGGCGTGAAGCGCTTTGGGCGAAATACTTTAAAGCACTCCGAGACGCCACCCGGCCTGAAGGGCGCTTTATAAAGTTGTTGTGAGAGTGATACCACTGAGCCAGGCTGACACTCACTCACACACACTCACTCACACACTCACTCACACATACACATATACACAAACTCACTCACACACACACACTTACACATACACACACACACACTCACACATACACACACTCACTCACACATGTACACAAACTCACTCACACACTCACTCACACACACTCACATATACACAAACTCACTCACACACACACACTTACACATACACACACACACACTCACACACACAATCACACATACACACACTCACTCACACATGTACACAAACTCACTCAAACACACACTCTCACTCACACACTCACTCACGCACACACACTCACTCACACACACACTCACTCACACATATACACAAACTCACTCACGCGCACACTTACACACACACACATACTCACTCACACACACACACACACAAACACACAACACTCACTCACACACATACACACTCACAGAATACAATCCTTTAGCGAAGCGGGTGGCTGTGTGTAACAGGCTAACATTGCCGGGGGATCCGAATTGCTTACATCTCGTACTCCTTCCTCCTCTCGGGATTGCTGACGATGTCCCAAGCCGCTCTCACTACCTTAAACGCCTCCTCGGACCTGGGGTGTGGGTTCTTGTCGGGGTGGACCTGCAGACACAAAGCCACTGCGTTTGAGACACAACAAACCTCTCCGCCCCATTCTTCCTCCGATCACCACGGACCCTGGGCCTCCCATTAGTGTCCCGTAGCTCAGTGGTTAGAGCCTTCGCCTCTCAAGCGAGAGGACCCGGGTTCGAGTCCCAGACGGGGTGAGACCTTCGGCAAGTTTCCTTACCAGGATGGCCAGTTGTCGATAGGCTTTTTTCAGTTCGGCGTCGGTGGCCGTCACCTCGAGGCCCAGCACTTTGAATGGGTCCAGGTCGTCCTTTCAATCCACGGCTGTTTGTCGAGACGTCGCTGGGTGCAATTGGCTGCCGCGTTTCGCCCCACAAAATATACAGTCACTCCACTTTGCAGTGTATCCTGTGAAGCGCTTTGAGACGTCTCGAAAGCGCAATAATCATCCTCGCATTGGATCCAGCGCCTTATTATTATTTGGGATCAACTCACCCAACACGTACTGCCAATGCTCCCGTAGCAGAAAGTGCAGGTTCCTCAGTGTGACCTGGATTAGGTAGAGCGAGAGAGACCAGCCGCCAGCTATCAGCAGGTACAGCGAGCTTTTCTGAAAGGCGGGGGGGGAGAGAGTGAGTCAGCAAAGGTGTTTCTCATTAAAAGGTGACGAGTGGAACTGAACAGATGCACAACCTCCCTTTCTCTGCTCCGAACAGAGGAAACAACCAACGATCACACGTACCTTGGGCAGAAGGCGTGACAGGATAAAGATGACAATGATGAGGGAGGCCAATATTCCCACACTGATTCCTGAGGTGTAGAAGAAAAGCTGGCTCCTGAAGGGAAAGATAGATTCAAGATTGAAGGCCACTGGATTCTTCCTCCCCCACCCCAAAGACTAGTTATTTTCTTCGGGGGGCAGGTGGTGGGGCGGGAAGGGAGGGGGTGGGAAGGGGGGGGGGGAAGGTGGCGGGAGAGAGGGGGAGGGTCATCAGGGACCGTGTCAAAATTTCCTTCACCACAAACTACACAGTCACTACACTTTATAGTATATCATGTGAGGCAATTTGAGACGTCTCAGAGACGCGATAAGGCACTATGTCAAATGCAATGATTATTTTTATTATTAGTCTAACCTCACCTGCTTAAAGCTTCGGCGTAGAAAAACAGCAACAACCCACAGACAAAGATGGCAATGAGTTGCGGATCAAAGCCTGTAAACCAGAGAGAGAGCAGCACACATTAGCTCCGAGAATCCCTCACAGCCACAAGGCACGGCAACACACAGCTGAACACGGCTACCAACTCGCTCGATGGACAAAGCGTGTGGCGGTGGCTGCAAAGGTCAGCAATTGCCTCTCTTAATCCAACTGAGGGACACACCAAAAGGAATTAAAGGCGTTCTCCTCTCCCCCTCCTCAGATCAGAGGGTATATCCAGTGAGTGGCTGAGGCACAGTGACAAGGTTCCAGGCTGAGTCTGTGCTGAGACAGCTCAACGTCTAATTTCTAGCAAGACGTTTAAGCAGAGGCCTTAAGTACGAAGAGCTGCATTTGTGCATATATGACGTCTTCACTTGTGTCCTAACAAGTGAGACACTGTTCAATTCCAAAGCAAGAAAGATGCCCATATTGTGAAACTAAAGGCAAATTCAATCAGCTACTTGCGCTTATACTGGGTAGCGGAAATCTGGAACTCTCTTTCTCTCTCTCTCTCTCTCTCTCTCCCCTAAAAGGCTGTGGGTTTTGCTTGGATCCATTCACATTTTCAAGACCGAAATGGATTGATGTTTCGTTAGGTCAGGGTATTAAGGGATACGGGGCAAAGGTGGGTAATTGGAGTTGAGGCACAGATCAGCCTTGATCTAACAGAATGGCGCGAAACAGGCTTACTCCTGTTCCTGCAGCACTTGACACAGGAGGCATCTCAAAGCGCTTTACAGAGATGGTATTGATCTGAACAACAGAGGCCACTTTGTACAAGGAGTTGAGGCACAGAACACCAGCTAATGGGATCAGGATAGAGGCTAGGATGGAGCACAGGAGGAGGGAATGTGCGTGTGCATTTGTTTGCACCAGTGTCCTATGCTCAATGACACACAACTGCAGGAAACGCAGAACGCGTGAGAATTGCGAGACGAAAGACCAAGGTCCATCCAGTTCGCTTTCCACCATTCTAGCAGTCACCTACACATGTCCTGTCCAGAACTATACACTGTAATCCCCAGAGATTATTTCAAAATATCCTAAAATTCATCTCATTTTGCTTTTGAAAGAATCAACTCTCTCTGCTGGAGCCTGTTCCATACGTTTAACCCTCCCTCACAGTAGTGTTTCCCCAGATCGGTTCTGAATTCACCCCCCCCCCGCGCCCCCTTTCAATCGCAGGGCATGAAACCTCTTAAAGGGGATCATCTCCGGTATCTTACTGACAGGAAACTCACGGCGTGCCAGCAGCACACGATACACCGCGCTCGCGTTGTTCGGCTCCACTCTGAAGCAGGTTTTGCTGCTGAACAGGTCGACGTTGATGTGGGTTTCGTTGACTCTCTCCTTCAACATCAACGACACCACCTCCGTGAACCAACCCCAGACCCCGGGGCTTTGCAGCTGTGTCACATCCTCCGACTCCTTCACTTTAAACTCCTGGGAGCTGTTCACTCGGATCTGGGGAGAGAGAGAGAGAGAGAGAGAGAGAGCGAGAGAGAGCGAGAAAGATCTGATTATCGATAGATTTGATCATCAAATCAATCGATCCAGTTATTTATTTATGGTGTCAAAAGTGAAGGGGTGGGAGTAGTGGGTTGCAGTAACTGCTTCCTTCCACTAGAGGGCGCTAGAGTACAAGGCATGCTTACTGAGCCCCACCCCCACCCTCCCACGCGCCCCCCACCCAAGTCACACCGACAACGGCTTGTATTTACACAGCGCCCCTCGCGTAGGGGAGCGGCCCAGGACTCTTGCCTGTGGCGGAGCATGACCCCGAACCAGAGGAAGGGGGTGGGGGGGGGGGGGGGTGACCTCCCCAGTCTCACCCGTAACCGAGTCCAGATCTCTCTCCATCCGGGCACCAGGGTGTTTTTGTAGCAAAAGCTCTTTGCCCCAAAATACTGGTAGACGACATCCTCCACGATCGACGCGCTCCCTCCTGCAGCACGAAAGCAACGGTCGCAAATTAAGCCGCGAACTGAACCCCGACCGATGAGCTCCAGTGAACCCCCCCCCCCCGATCGCTGCGCCCCGTCTTAACGCGTCAGCGCTGCCTAAGTCATCCTGCTGTCAGTATACCGGCCGCCAGTCCTGATGACTCCCGTTAATCCTCCTCTTTAACCCTGCGAGTGAAAGCCCCAACGGGGAGGGTGGTCCAAGCAGCGGGAAAGCTTTGGCCAGACGGCGCTCTCGCTCTCTCAATGGCCAACCTACGTGGTTTTATCTGGTCAGACTCCAGCAGTTACCCCCTAACGCACACTCTGGGATTCCCAACCACCCCACCCCAAGCCCTTGGCTCCTGCCAACCTGCGCCTAATACTCTCCGGAATCAGGTCACCAGGGAGGGAGAGAGAGGGCATTCCTTTCCGACAATCTATCTCTGGGAACTTTCAGCGTGAGTTCTCAGCCGGGTCTGGAAATTCTTAAGCAACGGTGATGATGGGTCTCCGCACGCGTGTCAAGACACAGGGTTGGCCATTTCCCCCCCCCCCCCCCACCGTTCCCCCCCAAAAAAGCCCCTTTTGCCTTGGAGCTGATCAGGAGTTTACTGTGAACAGAATTATAGAATTATACGGCACAGAAGGTGGTCATTCGGCCCATCGTGTCTGTGCCGCTCTTTGAATAGAGCTTCCAAATCAACCCCACTCCCCCTCTCTCATTCCCCCCCCCCCTCCCTCTCTCTCCCCCCAATAGCCCCGCAAACTTGTCCTCCCCAAATAATTCTCCCTTAAAACTTGTGATATCAAATCCTTTTCCACCAGCCTTTCAGGCAATACTGATTAATCACTGCTATTACGGTACAACAACAACAATAGTAATCCTCGCATTTGATATAGCGCTTTTCACGTCTTCTCGACGTCTCAAAGCGCTTCACGGAACAGACTGTACAGTGAATTGACCGTATATTTGTGGGAGAAACGCGGCGGCCGATTGCTCACAGCAGCGTCTGCCCCACAAACAGCCGTGGATTGAAAATGACCAATTTATTACTGTTTTGTTTTGGAGGGGATTATTATTATTATTATTATTATTATTATTAGGCTGTGTGTGTGGAGTAAGGAAACTCGCCCACCTGCCTGGTGTCCCGCTGGTGAGGTCAGTGCTCTAACCACTGAGCTACAGGACTGCAAAATATTATGTTATGTTATGATTCGAAGGAGTAAATTATTCCAAGGGGGTGTGGTGTGTGTGGAGTGGGGGGGGGGGGTGCCGTGGGGGTGGCTGTGCTGTGCGGTGTGGGGGGGTGTGTCAGCGCCTCGGGACGTCCTCCTGACGTGAAAGGCGCTTTATAAATGGAATCTTGTTGTTGTTGTGTGGTTGTGTGCTGTGGGGGTGTGTACTGTGGGGGGGGGGTGTTGTAGGGGGTGTACTGTGGGGGGGGTGTGAGTGTTGTGTTCTGTGGCGGGGGGTGTGGTGTGTGTTGTAGGGGGTGTACTGTGGGGGGGTGTGTGGTGTGTACTGTGGGGGGGGTGTGTGTACTGTGGGGGGGGTGTACTGTGGGGGGGGAATGTACTGTGGGGGGGGGGTGTACTGTGGGGGGGGTGAGTGGTGTGTGCTGTGGGGGTGGGGGCTGTGCTGTGGGAGGGGGGGGTGTGGATGGGGGGAATCTTAGGTCTCAGTTCAACACGGAATGTGAGGCGTCTCGAAGATTATTATTATTGATTATTATTATTATTATTGATTATAATGGTAATGATTGGGGCTGATGTTGCAGACAGGGGCCGGGCCTCGGAGACCTCCTGAAGCCTGGGGCTCGGGTTGGGGGCAGAGAGGGAAAGGGGGGAAGCCCGGGCCCGGCCCGGCCCGGCGGGGAGGGAGGGAGGGAGGGAGGAGAGACCGTCGTTACCTGAGGCCGCGGCCTGAGCCAGGACCAGGCCTGAAAGCCAGGCCGCCGCGTACAGCGCCCAACCCGGGCCCGGAGCCACCAGCCCGCGGCGGCCATTCATCCCTCCCGCCATTGGCTGCGGGGGGGCGGGGGCTCGGCTCCCTGACCGACAGCGCCGTCCGCCAATCAGCGGCTGCCCCTCGCAGGGCGGGGCTTTCACGCCCTGACTGACCGCGCACTTCGCCAATCAGCGGCTGCCCCTTCGCAGGGCGGGGACTCCACGCCCTGACTGACAGCACCGTGCACCAATCAGCGCTTGCCCCGGACCTCGACTGGGATCCGCCTCGGCCAATGGGAGCGTGACCTGGGCGGGGCGGGGCGAGCTCCTGAGCAGCCGTGGGCGGCGCCCCTCGGTTTGACTGACAGCCGCTGCGACCAATCAGCGGACGCCACCGCCGTCCCACCACGCCCCCTCCCGTGCGGGCAGTCAGCGGGTTCTGATTGGTCGCCGTGAACGCCAATCAGCGGCCAATCGCCCAATCGCGAGGCGGGGGGAGGGGAGGGGGCGGGATGTCTGATTGACAGCTGCAGAATCATCAATAACAACAATAATAACCCTCGGATTTGACCCATCAGAGGATCAAAGGGTCCCAATCCCGCCGTGAAGTGTAGTGACTGTGCGTTTTCCGGGCGGTGTGTATCAACGCAAGAGAGAGAGAGAAAAAAAAAGAAGAGAAAAAAAATCGCCGGCAAAAAAAAAAACGCCGACGGCGACGGTTTGGCCGCTTCAATCCGCGCCGCTAAACGCACAGTCACTACACTTTACGGCGCATGCCCCGCGAGGCGCTCTGAGCCGTCTCGAGGACGTGATCAAATGCGAAGGGCTGTTGTGGATAGGACTCCTGACTGAGCCGCGCCGGTTACTGAGCCCCAACGCAGACGGGAAGGACACGGTTTTAAACGATTAAGTGAAACAGCGTATTATGCTTCACAGATCTCGTGCTTTGAAACCTTTACGCGGCCCAAGTTGGGTAATGAACGAGTTTCTGCTCCGGGCCCCGGTTTGGTCCCTTGAAAGAAGCGAGTGGGCGGCTGAAGACAGCTCAACGTCCACAAATGAGTAGCGTCGCCCGGAGGGCCGTGGGCGGTGAGGATCACGTCACAGAGTGGGAGAGAGAAAGAGAGAGAGAGAGAGAGAGAGAGTGTGTGGAGCAGGAGGGAGAGTTATCATAGATCTTCCGGAAATAGCCTGTCGCTGGAATATATCAGGGAGATGAGACCTGCGACGCTAAATTTAGAATCCCAAACACAATGCGAATGTTAATTCGCTTTAATTGTTCTGTTTATTGCTTCCTTTGCTGTGTGTGTGTGTGTGTGTGTGTGTCTGTGTCTGTGTGTCTGTGACTGTGTGTATGTGTGTGACCGGCTCCATTGTTTCTCTTGTTGTATGTAACCGAGTTCAGCTTCAACTTAAGGTTGTGGCTTATACACTCATGCTCTCGCCTCTGGGGTCAGATGTTTGCAGGGTCGAGCACCTTCTCCCCCACCCCCCCCCAGACTGACCTCACCCCACCCACACATCGGCAACAATGAACTCACAGTCTGTACTGATGCTCCAGCAAAGTGTCGGGGGGGTATGAGGGGTGGGAGGGTGTCCCCATATTGTCGGAGGTTACGTCTTTCGGATAAGATAACAATAATCCCTTAAAAATACATTAAAATAATAATTTGGTCGCTCAATCCACGAGTGTTTGTGGGGACACTGCTGTGCGCTACCGCGTTTCGCCCACAAAATATACAGTCACTACACTTTACAGTACATTCTGTGAAGCGCTTTGAGACGTCTCGAAGACGTGATAAGGCATTACATCAAATACAAGGGTTATTAATTATTATTATTATTAAACCAGGCTCCCTGTCTGTGCCTGTTCAGATAGTCGTAAAGCTCAAATCAGAAGGGCTGAAGGATAATTATTTTAACCTCTGTATTATTAATTATTTGTATTGACGCAGCGTCCCAGACAGAGGTGGAGTCGGGGGGGGCCAGGGGGAGGTGACCGTAGGCACGGTCGAAGAGGAAGGAGAGAGAGGAGGGAAGGCGGAGGGATTGAGGGTGAGAGCGACAAGAGCAGTGGCTGAAAGTGCGGCCACCGACGACGGGACAACCTTGGTTTTGATACGAGGGACAAGCAGGAGGCCGGAGCCAGTCAAGCGGAAGCTGCGGGGAGTGGGTTGGGGGAGTGAGCAGGTGGGAGTGGTAGGGAGTTGGAAGGGCGCGAAGGGATTTGAAGACGAGCGCGAGGAAACTGAAACACACGTTAATGGTAACAGCCTGCGGGTCAGTGCAGAGCAGAGCAGCAGCTGGAGTTTATTGTGCGGAGGGAAAGGGAAGGAACTGGTGAGATTTGAGGGGGTGGATTGGACAGGGTTCAACCCTGCTAATGCTTCCTCCTTCCTCCCCGCCCCCCCCCATCCCCCCCCCCCAGACACACACACACCCGCCAACATCATAAGAACATAAGAATTTGCTATGAAGCGAAAGAAGACCAAGGTCCATCTAGTTCGCCTCCTGCCCTTCATCCTGGCTGTCGCTTGAGGTGTCGTGTCCCCAAACTATACACTGTAGCCCCCCCCCCCCCCCCCACCCCCACCCCCCAGATATTATTTTCGAGCAAAAATCTATCTCGTTCGTTTTAGAAACAAACAACACTGATCATCCTCAGACAAGATAACCTCAGACAAGAGAGGGAGAGGTGGGGGGTGGGGGGGAGAGAGGGGGGGGGGAGAGTGTAGAGAGTGGGTACAAGGGGAGATGGACAGATACCGGCCATGATACAACAACAACAACATCAACAGCACAATTACATTTGTATAGTGCCTTTCGTTTCCAAAAAGAACTTGATAATAACCTTGTGTTTCGCATCGATTGAACATCTGAAAAGTCTCTCAGCAACCACACTTTTTGTCTCCTTCCTTCCCCCCACCCCCCCGCGCGCTCCACCCCACCCCACCCCACCCCACATACCACCACCCGCCCGCCCGCCCCAGCACACACCCAACCCCCTCCGGGCCAGGCTACCAGCCAAGTCAAGTGCTTTGAGACGTCATCCCGACAATTACGACGAGGATAGAAGAGTGTAGGGGGGGGGGGGGGGAAGGGGGGAGAGAGAGGAGCCAGGGTGAAGGCAGATTAATCCTGGTTTATATAGAGGAATTCTGGAAGTGGAGTCCTGTTGCTAAGAGCACTCTCCTCACAGGAGAGAGGACCCAGGTTCGATTCCCGGGCAGAGGGCGACACTTGAGCCAAGTTTCCTTACTCCGCACTCCTTGTAGTGAGCAGGAACCCGGCTGTTCGCGGACTGTCGGATCGGATTCCTGGGCTAATCATTAATTCCCTTAAAAAAGAAAACGGTAATAATAAATCGGTCGCTTCAACCCACGGTTGTGTGTGTGTATGTGTGTGTGTGTGTGTGTGGGGGGGGGGGGGGGGGGGAAGGGGGGATTGACCCCGCTGTGCGCGATTGGCGTTTCGCCCCAAGATACACAGTCACTCCGCTCCGCGGTGTATGGCGTGAAGCGCTTTGGAGGAAGTGCGTACGTCGGGCGATGAGTGTGGCGGGAGGGGAGGTGATGGGGGGGGGGGGTTGGGGCGAGGAGCTGGGGAGGTGAGAAGGGTCTTTTTTTCAATTTTGTTTCAATTTTTTTTAAAAAAATGGGGGTTTGGTGTGTTTGTGTGGGGGTGGATGGCGGATTTCCCCCCCACCCACCATTAGGGGGAAAATCCCCCCCCCACACCCACTCCTGCCTGAGGATGGGTAAGTGGGGACACAGAATGAAGTGAAATAGAATGTTTTTGGTTGATTCAAGGAAGAAAATGAAGGAGATCAGAGAGGCTGTGGCTGTGGGGTAGTGGGGGAGGGGGGGCATAGTGGGGTGGGGGGGTGGGGGGGGGGGTGTGAACACCTCCCCCCGGGGTTGAGCCTGGGTTTGGGTCGGGCTGACTTGGCTGAGAGCCGCCCCCCCCCCTCTCTCCGCCCCCGATTCTCCTCCCACGGACGGACACGCGTCATATTCAGCTCCACTCCCCCCCCCCCCCCCCCCTTTCCCCCCCCTTTCCCCCCACTCCGCCCCCCGTGGGAGGCGACACCGAGCCGGGAATCTCCGCCGTTAGAGCCAACACAACAGCGGCTCAGAGAGAGACACAGACACACACACACAGAGACACAGACAGACAGAGAGAGACACAGACACACACACACAGACAGAGAGAGACAGAGAGACAGACAGAGAGAGAGACATAAACAGAGAGAGACACAGACACACACACACCACAGACAGACACACAGAGACAGACAGACACACAGACACACAGAGACAGACAGACACACAGACACACAGAGACAGACAGACAGAGAGACAGAGACACACAGAGACAGACAGACAGACAGAGAGACAGACAGACAGACACACAGAGACAGACAGAGAGAGAGAGAGAGAGACACAGACAGACACACACACCCACACAGACAGAGACACAGTCCCAGAGCCAATAGATACAATTTTGCAACAAATCGATACAATCGCAGAGCGAAGAGATACCGTTTGGAACCAAATCGATACCGTTTGGCAACAAATCGATACAATCCCTAATCAGAGAGAGAGAGAGAGAGAGAGACACAGAGAGAGAGAGACACAGACACACGGACCCCCGGGAACCCCATCACAGTCCCGGATCGGACGGACACTGTGAGTCGTCGCGTCTCCGTCTTCTTCGTTCTCCAAACAACAACTCGCACTCAACTCCCCATCGCCTTCCGGCGCCGATCTGTCCCGTCCACCGCCACCGCCACCGCCACAGCCCCGACCCCGAGGTACGGACCAGAGAGTGATCAGCACAGAGAGAGAGAGAGAGAGAGCCCTGTGTGAGACTGTGGTGTGTGTGAGACTGTGTGTGTGTGTGAGACTGTGTGTGTGTGTGTGACTGTGTGTGTGTTATTGGCTCTGGGGGTGTCTGTGTGTGTGTCTGTGTGTAGCTCTGTGTAGGTGTGTTTGTGTAGGTGGCTCTGGGGTATGTGTGTGTGTGTAGCTCTGGGTGTTTGTGTGTGTGTGACTGTGTGTGTGACCCTGTGTATTTATCTGTGTGTAGTCCTGGGTATGTGTGTGTGCAGCTGTGTGTGTGTGTGTGTGTGTGTGGTTCTGTGTGTGGCTCTGTGTGTCTGTGTGTGTGTATCTGTGTAGTCCTGGGTATGTGTGTGTGTAGCTGTGTGTGTGTGTGGCTCTGTGTGTCTGTCTGTGTGTATCTGTGTGTAGTCTGTAGGTGGCTGTGTGTGTGTAGCTCTGTGTGTGTGTCTGTCTGTCTGTGTATCTGTGTGTAGTCCTGGGTATGTGTATATGTAGCTGTGTGTGTGTGTGGGGGGGGGGGGGTCTGTGTGTGTGTGTATCTGTGTAGTCCTGGGTATGTGTGTGTGTAGCTGTGTGTGTGTGTGTGTGGCTCTGTGTGTCTGTGTCTGTGTATCTGTGTGTAGTCCTGGGTGTGTGTGTGTGTAGCTGTGTGTGTGTGTGTGTGGCTCTGTGTGTCTGTGTCTGTGTATCTGTGTGTAGTCCTGGGTGTGTGTGTGTGTGTGTATATGTGTGTAGTCCTGGGTGTGTGTGTGTGTGTGTGTACATGTGTGTAGTCCTGTGTGTGTGTAGTCCTGGGTGTGTGTGTGTGTGTGTGTATATGTGTGTAGTCCTGTGTGTGTGTGTGTATCTGTGTGTAGTCCTGTGTGTGTGTGTGTGTATCTGTGTGTAGTCCTGTGTGTGTGTGTGTATCTGTGTGTAGTCCTGTGTGTGTGTGTGTGTGTGTGTGTATCTGTGTGTAGTCCTGGGTGTGTGTGTGTATATATGTGTAGTCCTGTGTGTGTGTGTGTGTGTGTGTATCTGTGTGTAGTCCTGGGTGTGTGTGTGTGTGTGTGTGTGTGTGTGAGACAGTTTGTCTCAGGACAGTATGAGCTAAACCCGACTTTAGTTTATCGCACTCCAGTCTGGGACCAGAGTTTGTTTCGAAATCCGAAAAAAGTCCATTTATTTCTTAAATTTTTTTTGGGGGGTGATTTAGTTTTAATTAAATATAAAAAATATTTTTATTATCAATAATTTTTTTTGGGGGGGGGGGGGAAGGGGGGAAAAAAAACCCTCTCAGCCGCCTATTCGCCCACAAAATCCACAGTAACTACACTTGCGACGTCTCTCAACAATGGGATAAAACAGGAATATTATTATATTATTATTATCGGGATCAAATTTAATCTCCGAGGGTTAATTTCTCTATCCGCACCCCTAAAAAAAAGAGGGGGGAATCTGAAACTACACCCCTAAAAAAAGAGGGGGGGATCTGAAACTAAACCCCTAAAAAAAAGAGGGGGGGATCTGAAACTACTTGCGAACCCTTAACAGTCCCGGATTTGCCCCTATTCGCCCCCATCTCCGGAATAGTTTCTGTGTTAAAATGTAGTTAATAAACAAGGAGCGATATGGGAGGGGGAGGGGAGGGAGGTTTATGAGTGGGGGAGGGAAATTCAGCCATAGCCATCTCGGGGTCCGAGCTCAGTGACTTATCCCCCCCCCCCTCCACCCCCCCCCGACCCCCAAATCTAACACCAGATTATCCCGCACCGGATAGAAAGGTTTAAATTCGGTTTGTGTAGCAATTCAGGGGGTCTCAGTATTCCCCCACACCCCCACCGCCCCCCCCCACCCCGTTACGTACACTGTCACATACACATACCTAACCCCCACCTCTCACACCCACACACTATCCCCACCCACACACTATCCCCACCCACACACTATCCCCACCCACACACTGTCCCCACCCACACACTAACCCCACCCACACACATTGCCTCCCACACATGCACTCTGCCCCCCTCCCACACGCACACACACACATACTGCCCCCTCCCCCACACACACTCACACTGTCTCCCCCCTCCACACTGTCACGCAAACACCACTATTCCCCCCTCACACACACACACACACCACCACCACCACTGCCCCCACTCCCACACTCCCACTGCCCCCCACATCTCGCATACCCCCCCCCACCCCACCCCCGCACGCCCGCAGAAACTTCCAGAACAAAATAGCAGCAGTGGTTAGGAATTTGACATAACCGACACTCTGAAATGAAAGGAACTGAATAATATTTCTCCCTCTCCCTCTCCCCCCCCCCAACCCCGGACCCCCCCCCCCATCAGCTTTCCCCTACCCCATCACCCCACCCTCCTTGTCCTTTCTGTCCGATCGTAATATAATTTTACTGTTGGCCCTATGATTTTATCACTGTCTTTTTCTTAAAAAAAATAACCCACACACGACTCGGCCCATGTAAGGAAGTTCCTTTACATCTGTACAGAAACCTGCTCACTCGCCGTCTGGTCTGGTCTGGTGTCTGCGTGTCTGTGTGTGTGTCTGTTGTGTATGCGTGTGTGTCTGCTGTATGCGTGTGTGTCTGCTGTATGTGTGTGTGTGTGTGTGTGCGCGCGCGCGCGTGTGTCTTGTATCTGTGTGTCCGTGTCTGCTGTGTGTGTGTGTGTGTCCGTGTCTGCTGTGTGTGTGCTTGTGTGTCCGTGTTTGTTGCGCGTGTGTATGTGTGTGTGGGTTTGTGTGTCCGTATCTGCTGTGTGCGCATGTCTGTGTCTGCGTGTGTGTCTGTGTCTGCTGTGTGTGTGTGTGTGTGTGTGTCCGTGTCTGCTGTGTGTGTCTGTGTGTCCGTGTCTCCCGTGTGTGTCTGTGTGTGTGTCCGAGTCTGCTGTGTGTGTGTGTGTGTGTGTCCGTGTCTGCTGTGTGTGTCTGTGTGTCCGTGTCTGCTGTGTGTGTGTGTGTGTGTGTCCGTGTCTGCTGTGTGTGTCTGTGTGTCCGTGTCTGCTGTGTGTGTGTGTGTGTGTGTGTGTCCGTGTCTGCTGTGTGTGTCTGTGTGTCCGTGTCTCCTGTGTGTGTGTGTGTGTCCATGTCTGCTGTGTACGCCTGTGTGTGTGTGTGTCCGAGTCTGCTGTGTGTGTGTGTGTATGTATGTGTGCTTGTGTGTCCGTGTTTGTTGTGCGTGTGTATGTGTGTGTGGATTTGTGTGTCCGTATCTGCTGTGTGCGCGTGTCTGTGTCTGCGTGTGTGTCTGTGTCTGCTGTGCGTGTGTGTGGGGAGGGGGTGGGGGGGGGGGATTGAAACAAGGAAAAAAAGAGGTTTGTAGAGTGAGTTTGAAGTGAGGGGTTTATAGATATAATAACCCCTCTCTCTCTCTCTCTCTCATTCCACGACTTGTGTGCACACACACACACACACACATACGAACATGCCTCCCACACACACACCACACGCGCACGCGCTGCACACGCCCACGCTCACACTCGCACACCCACTTGCATCCGCCCACACAGAACCCTGATTAATCCCGGCCTCTTGACTTGGAAAGCGCTGCAACAATGTGAAGGATTATTTACTCTTATTACTAAAAATTGGCAGTTTCCAACTGACCTCCGACCTGATCACGAGAGACAGACTGACACACACACACACACACACACACACACACACACAGTGACAGACAAACGCACACGCATACTGACACGGACACAGTGACAGACAAACATAGACACGTACTGACACACACAGACACCGACACACACGCACACGGACTGACAGATATACACAGACAGATACACACACACATACTGACAGACAGAGACGCACGCGCAACGCACACACACACACACACACACACACATGGACAGATAGACACACACACACATACTGACACAGACAGACACAGACACACACGCGCACCGATGTAAACACACTCACACACACACACAACAATAACACATCGCATTTGTATAGGCGCTGAGAAACACACACAGAACAGCCGTGGAGGAGTGAAACATTGGCAGAGAGAGAGAGGGAGAGAGAGAGAGCGAGTGGGTGGGGGGTGGGGGTGAGGGGGTGGGGGGTGGGGAGGTGGGGGGGTGGGGGTGGGGGTGGGGGGTGGGGGTGGGGGTGGGGGGTGAGGGGGGAAAGGGAAATATTACAATTTAAAACAAAGTTAAGAATTCACCACAATTCTGAGCACAGATTTCGAGGCAGAATTTCAGGAATGTAACGTATGTCTATTTTCTCTCTCCCCCTTCACCCCCTCTCTTCACCCCCCCCTCCCCCCCCCCCACCTCTCTCCTCCTTTTTCCCCTACTCTCCCCCCCCTCTCTCATTCCCACATCTCTCCTCTCCCCTATCTCTCCCTTCCCCCCCGCCCCCGCCCCCACCTCCCCGGTCTGTTCCACCTCTCTCCTCCTCCATCTCTCCCCCTTCCACCTTCTCTCCCTCCTCCTCTATGTCCCCGTCCCCCGCCCCACTGTCTCCCCCATCTCTCCCTTCTCCTCTGTTCCTCCCCCCCTTTCTCTCCCCCATCTCTCTCTCTCCCCCTCCTCCACTCTGTTCCCCACCTCCCCCTCCTTCCCAACTCTCTCCGCCTACCCCCTATCTCTCACTCCCACACCCCCCCCCCCCGTCCTTCCTCCATCTCTCCCCCTCCTACCTCTCTCTGTTTCCCCACCCAAACCCCCCACTCCCACCTCCCCTCCCCCTCTACCCCCAGGCCAGCGATGACCCTACCCACCAGCCTGGGGGAGCTCCAGCTGTACCGACTGCTGCAGCGAGCGAACCTGTTGGCTTACTACCAGACCTTCATCCAGCAGGGGGGGGACGATGTCCGCCAGCTGTGTGAGGCGGGGGAGGCCGAGTTCCTGGAGATCATGGTGCTGGTGGGAATGGCCAATAAACCCCTCCACGTGCGGCGGCTGCAGAAGGCCCTGCGAGAGTGGGGCTCGAACCCCGGTCTCCTCAGCCAGCCCCTCCCCACCCTCCCCCTGCCCGGCGTCCCCCTCCCCCACCACCACGGCCACGGCCCCCGGCAGCTCAAGAGGAAGACGGCGGAGTCGGGGTCGGGGGGCACCAGCGCCGGACACGACTCCCAGCCCCCGCCCCGCTCCCCGGCCAGCGAAGGACCCCCACCCACCGCCCCCGCCAATACTCGGCTGTGCCTCCAAGACCGGACCCTGGTGATGCGTCGAGTCGATCTCTTCTCCGTCTGTCGCCCGGCGGCACGGGACTGCGCTTACCCTCACCCGGACAGGACCCGCAGGTAACGCACGACAACAAGTTACACTTATCGCCCCCACCCCCCTCCTCCCAAGGCGTCCCAAGGCGCTGGACAACGAGGGCTTTGCACCCGAGCTGGGGGGTTGGGATCAGGGGGGTGGGGGGGTGAAAGGTAGGGAGGGAGGGAGAGGGGGCAGGAGGGCGACCGAGGGTGCAGGCAGTCGAAGAGGAGGGTCCTGAGGCGCGCCTTCAAGGAGGCGAGGGTGAGGGTGGAGGGGGGCGAGGTGGAGGGGCTGTGGGATGGAGTTCCAGTGGTTACGAGAGACACACACTGCCCGCCCGGACGTTTAGACCCACTTGTTAGGCGGGGGGTGGGGTGTGGTGGGGGGTGGGGTGGGGGGGGGTTGTGGGGGAGAAGGGACTATGGACTGTCCCCAAGTTACCGAAAGCTGTGAGGTTTTCTTTGGTTCATTTTCGGGTGAATTTATATCACTTTCAGATCAAGCCCAGAGGAGACAAGTCCCCCACGAGACAAGAGGCTGAAACAAGAGGTAAGAAGATCGGGGGTTACCCCCACCCTCTCTCCCCCGCGCCCCCCCACCCCCACCACCGCCTTCTCCCCACCGAACCTTTGGGAGATTTCACCCCAAACCCGTCTTGTATTATAACTTGTACCTTCGAGACGTCACAAAGCGCTTCACGGGGGTTGGGGGGGGGGGAACACGCGCGCGCACCACGCCCGGAAGGTGTAGTGACTGTGCGTGCGTGTGTGTTTTTCGTGGCAAAGGTCGTGTCGGGGGGTGAGGGGTCGGAGCCTCAGAGTCCCGCCCACGAGGGGTGCGGCCAGGACCGGGCGGAGCACAGCAGCGGCCAATCAGAGGGGAGCCCGGGCGCCAACACGCACGGTGGGTAAACCTCGCGCCCTACGCAACGACGACGACAACAACGACAACAACTTGCCTTTACACGGCGCCCTTCGCGCGAGCCAGAGTCTCGGGGTGCTTGACGGTGGCGGAGCCTGAGGCCAAGCCGGTGGTGGGGGTGGGGGTAGGGGTGACCGTAAGGACGGTCGAAGAGGGTGGTCTTCAGTCGTGAGCTAAAAGAGAGGAAAGGGGGGTGGGGGGGGGTGGCGGGTGGGGCGAGACGGAGGGATCGGGGGGGGAGAGAAAGTCCCAAAGCTTCAGGGCGTAGTGACTGGCTCGTGGTGGAGCGGAGGGGACGAAGGGCAAGCAGGAGACCAGAGCCAGCTCGTAGCGGGGTGGGGGGGGGGTAAAGTTGAATTATACACAGCGCCCCCCTCCCCTCGCCCCCACACACGCTGCCCCCCCCCCCCCCCCACCACCTCACTCGCAGTCAGCCTGGGATTTCCCGGAGCTGCTTGTGGCACAGCCCCCACTTCCTGAGGCTGTGTACAGTGGGCGGTGGGTGGGCGGGGTGGGGGGGGTAATATAACACTCACACCCCCGCCCTCCCACACACTCAAACCACAGCAGCTCTGAGGTCACCACAGCCTCGGGCCGGGCAATTCCCCCCCACACACACACACACACACACCCTCAGAGACACACACGCACACCCCCCCCCCCCCAGCCAGGAACACTGCCGGTCCAGTGTAGAGAGACTGCGTCTCTAACCCTGACCGGGGGGGGGGACGGGGGACGGGGACGGATGCACAGTGCGGAGTGAAACCTTGTGGAGCGGCTGACAGCTCAGGGCCTGTGTGTGACAGCAGAGAGAGAGAGAGAGAGAGAGAGCGTTGGCGGGGGAAGGAAATGAACAGCAGGGGATTCCCCCCCCCCCCCCATCACCACCGCCGGCCTCCCGACTTCTCACCGGTCTGAGCCCTGAGCCCGTTTTGGCTCTGTGCTGGTGGAACATTGCCGTGTTCGACCACAAAAAACACACAGCGTTGTCCTGGCGGGCACTTTGGGGGTGGGGGGGTGGGGGGGGGGTGTGTGGGAGTCCTCCTGATGCGAAAGCCGCCGTGACAAATCTCATTATTATTAGAATTAATAGTAAGGCTGAGACTGGATTAAAAGCGGCAAAGGTTTCGATTTCGGCGAGAAATGAAAGCAGATTTAAATTTCCGCACCTCGAAGACACGCACAGTCACTACACTGTGCGGCGTATCCCGCGGAAGCCCTTTGAGAGGCGACTCAAAGGTGCGATGAGAGGCCCTGGATCAAACCAGAGGATTGTGACTGTTATTCATTAATTATTATGATGATGATTCAGCAGCAACGTTACTGACAGAGGATTAGGTACGGCTTTAAGCATTTGTTTCTTTCTCTCTCTCCCGCGCTCTCCCTCTTTCTCCCTCGCTCTCTGTGTTTACGAACCCTCCCTCTCCTTTCTATCACCACCACTGCAACAACAACTTGTACGTATATAGCGCCCCTCGCACTGGGCAAACATCACAGACCTACTCGTCTGCCAATCGTAACCAGCTGGAATTTCTTTCCAAGGATCACATTGTGGGCAGATTCTGTGAAATAACTATCTGTCAGGGAATCGGAACATTCCTGAGTAATGACAGTCGGTGTATGAATCAGGTGACACAAGCATGATAATATTTACATTTGATTGCAGCATCTAATCACGTCTTCGAGACGTCTCAAAGAGCTTCACAGAATATACTATAAAGTGAATTGGCTGTGTACTTTGCAGGCGAAATTTGGCAGCCAATTTCTCACAGCAGCGTCCCACAAACAGTCGTGGATTGGGTGACCTAAGTTTTTTGCTTAAAAAGGGATTATTATCTGCAGAAAAGCCATCCACCGATTGACTAACAACCGGCTTCCTGCTTACGGCCGGGTGAACAACAACAATAAAATTACATTTGTAAAGCGCCTGTCAGGTCGAGAGGACGTCCCAAGGCGCTAGGGCGGTGAATGTATGGAAGTCACTACCCCAAAGGGCTGTTGATGTTCAGTCCTTGAACATAGAGCGCTCTTTCCTGGCAAGCGAGAGGGTGTGTACGTGTGAGTAAACTGCAAACATCTCCAAGGCATTACTTACA